GCCCAGAGGTTAGCTTAAGGGTACCCAATTCCCAAAACCTTACGATTTGCTTACAAACGCACAGCCAAGAGCTCTCAGCTTTTGGGCTTTAATGATTGGAGGCCTGGATGTATAAAATCTGAAGGCTCCAAATCCAGAGAGCCAGTTAAGCTCAATTACTTGGTTTGCTTGGCACCACCACCGCCGCCGCCACCACCGCCGCTGCCGCCCACTGCCCCGCCGCCACCACCACTGCCGCCGACGAAGACGAAGACGATCAGGAGCACGAGGGCTACGCTGCCAACGATGATGCCACTAGCATTAGCACCGCAATGACCGCAAATAGCACGATGACAAACCGAATAAGTAGTGCAGAAGTTCCTCGATGCATGGCCTCATGGACAAGTACAGTACTGCATTAACACGGTCTTTGATGAATGCATAATCAAGGGCCATGACAACCCTTCATGTCAATGCAATAGTGTATCACTGCCGCTGTCAGAAGCACCGGCAGTTAAAACGGAATCATCAATGCAATAGTGTAGCCCAGTAACCATGGGGTTGAGAACGAGTGTGGCATGCGTGGCATAGAAGACTCTGTCACCCTAAACCGTGAACCCTAGACCCTAAACCCTAGACCCTGCTTAGGGCCTCGTAAAAAAAATCAAAGCTCTTCGGGAATCCGAGGGCGTCCGATTAGGAAAAGCTCCGGCTTGAACGGACCAGGAAATGTCTGACCAGCAAAGCCAGACTGAGTTCCCAGACCCCCAAAAAGATCTAACAATAGATCCCCTAGAACCATAGGGGTTATAATGCGTCTTTATAGGGGATGCAAGTCCAAACCCAGATTGAAAGCTGAGCTTCCAGCCTGAGAGATGAAACACTGTCCAACAACGCAATGGATTCTTTACAAGATGTGTGGCAAGATGACATAAACTATCAAATAGCACTGATGTTGCAAGCACTGCAAAACATCCCTGCATCGAAAAGTCTGTGCTGCTTAGCACAGCTTGGGCCAAAACTCATCGAGTGCTGCATAGGTGGCCTGGTCCCCTACCTGCACCTCTTGCTGGAGCTCCTTTTCAAGGTAATGTTTATGCTGATGTCTGAGCAGCCCAAAGGATATATTCTAGAGATTTTACCTAGATTACTTATTGGGGTCCTTATAAGGGACAAGTCAGGGACACTTCAGAGGATCTACTTCAAATATAAAAATGGTTCAAGGCGTATGAGCAACTTGGGGAGCTTTCTACATGCAGCTTTCATCTGTCTGCGCCGCAAAGCATGGGATTGCTATTTCCCCATGACCCCACGTGACCTGTCTATAAGAAGGGCATCACTTCGGCCATTTTATTAACCTGAAACTGAGCAAACGTGTGAAACATGCCACTACTTTTGCCATTTTATTAATGAATCTGAAACTGAGCGAATTTGAGACAGGTTCTCTTTCGCAAGTACACTTAAGGCAAGCTTGGGCGAGGTCGTTTTAAGTAGCCTAGCTCCTACATGACCTGTGGCCGTGGGGTCCAAGGTTGGGGGCGACCTAGGGGCACTGGGTGCACGGCACCACGCGTAAGCTTCGATGCGTCATCCTTCAAGCTCTCACATGGAGGGACTCTAGAGGTACTTGTGGCGTTTAGGGTTTAGGGTTACAGAACACGGACATGCTTCTAAAGGGCTATAGTCCCCCTCAAGTAGATATAACCTGGGTTATATCTATACTACCATGAATGAAGCTATGGTAAGGCTCAAATCAGACTATAGGATGACGCGCAGGAGAACTGTTGGGAGATGGAGACGTCCAATTGCGGCTGTACTCCAACAGAACTTGGCGGGTGCTGCCTGCATGTGGAAGTAATCCACTCCCCCTCACACGCGGGTTTCTACAGATTAAGGGTATCTGTTTGGGGTCCCTGTATCAAGGACTACAGCATTGACTCCGCGCTATCTCTGAGGTCCGAGCAAATGAGCACTACACTACAGCATTTGGGGGGCTGTATTGGGCTCCCTATTTAGGGAAAATACCATATTCAAGCTCCCCCATTCCGGGGGCTTTAATAGAAGGGGGAGAGGATTGAGATATGGACTCTTAAGCCTCAAGAGTTCCCAGTAGCAACAATGCTCAGACGATGGTTCTTTCTTTAAGTGTAGAACCGTTTTGGAATCGCGTGGAACATGTGCTGCGTACGCTCCTGTAAAATACGTTTGTTCAGTGGCCGGAAGCTACTACGCGTAAGCATGGCTCAGTGAGACATCTTCTCCCAAAGACCATCAGCAAACCCTCAACACACTACTGTTGACATTAAAAAGAAAGGCATGACCTCAAATACTTTATATCCTGCGAATTATGGGCGTTCAGTATGTTAAAGTCAAACAGGATTCTTAATATCAACCTTATCCATCTACGAGAGAACCTGAACGTACCCAACTTCAGACCTGAAGCCTTGAACCTCAAAAGAGGCTCCAGACAAGACCTCAAACAAATGATCCAGCCGAAACCCTAAACCCTAAAGACCCAGACCCTCCATTTACTTTCTTCTAGGGCCTAAGTACCCACCATTAGGGGCAACCATCAAGGGTACTAGGGGGTCTTGGATGACTCATGGAACTTGTTCTGCACCTTGTTCTGCACACACTGATGGGAAACTTAAGGAACTAGTGCACCCTTCCAAGGTAGGGGCATTGGAAGAAACCATGAGGTGGGGCTATGAAGCTACTGCATCCCCTTCTGCACCACCAAAATTCTGTAGTCCTTTTTAGTCGTAGGCTCGTAGAAATCAAGCCCTTCATTGTGGACTCCCACAAATATGCCATTGCCTCCAAGCGCTCGAAACTCTTCTCAGCCACCTTCCTTGGCAAGAGCTGCAGCAAGAGGCAATGTTTATAGCATGCAGGCCACAATGCGACTAATGTTGTGTATTGATTGATAAAGCGGTTCGGAATGGAGCAGCCCAACGGATCAATAAGAAGGGTACGGAATCGAGAAAACGTTGTCCCGTACGGAAAAGGACCAGGCAGGAACGGAATACTGGAAATATGTCAACTGGAAATCGTCTCGGAGACAGAAATATTGAGCCCAGTACCGAGAAACGAATTCCAGTTCGAATTCCCTTTCGCATTTTAGATTTCATCCGTTACATGAACACAAACCATCGATTTCTCTTTGAACCAACTTTTCACAAAGACTGGTAAATCATCCCCGCTCAGGAGTAGTCTACTTAGCCCAGCAGAGCGGAATCATGAGCTTCACAAAGGGTATGGAATGATCTGGCCTTGGGCTCCAGTTTATCAATTAATTGTAGATTGAAATTCTGCTTGGGGTGATTCTGAACCAAAGAGCTCTGAGCCCAAGCGCCCACAAGAGTCCTACCTTCGAACGTCTTTTGGGGGGGGGATGGTGGGGGCAAGGGGGAACGGGGCGGGGGAGGGGCCTGTCTTCATATTTAGTTGGACTAAGAATAAAGGCGAAGCCTTTCATCCAACACCCAAGTCGTCTAAACTGTACACCAAATACAGACGTATGCACATATACATAGCGACTTAGGCACCCCTGCAAAACGCACTGCATATGCGTAGGTGTGCACTGCAAAGCAGTACTGTTGACGCAGGAAACCTTGCACCACTTTCATGCTCCGCTGTAAATTGATACCCCGCAGTAGAAATAATAGTAATACTAATTACTAGTGATAATAGCAGTGATGACAGTAAACCTAATAGTGATGATCACAGTATTTTTAGTTGTGACAGTGCGAAATGCCTATGGGACACATGACTCAAATCTTGCACCACCTAAATTTGTTCCCTAAACCCTAAACCCTAACCCCAACGTTGAACGGGGGTGCGGGGTTTGTGTGGCTCATGGTCTGATTGGTTAACATAGGGGCGGTTCAAGATGTCCTCCATCCACTTTAGTATAATACACTAGCAATCCCATGTGAGCTATAGTCTAAACCCCTAGTATCAACCTTAATAACCCCTATAGTAGTCCCTATGTAATCCCATACATAACCCCCTTTAAGGAGCTTAGATTTGGACTCATGTAGCTCTTGGCGGGCCTTTTTCTTTGGCGTGAATTGCGGAAACATAGGTGAACTCCTCTTGGTGGACAAACTGCGCTGCAGTGAAACATCCTTGGTTCGAGGCTACCATGCCTGGAGAACACGCTGCTACCCTTTGATATGATACAGTGAAAATGATAAGCATCTAAAGACAGTCGCAGCGCCAACTGAGTCGTGTTCTTTTGGTGGTTGAACACAGTATGATTATATTCTGTATATATGAGATACTATACCAAAATATACCAAAGTAGGATATAATCTGTCGCTATATTGGGTAACTACCATTTTCCACCAATCAAGTCAGTCTTTCGCTGACGCGTAAGAGCAGTATGAATCGAAGCAGCCTCGCCCGAGGAGCTGGGTTGCTGTCCAGGAAACTCTAGGGTTTAGCGTTTAGGGTTTAGGGAGACCCTCCAACTCCCGGCTATTGGAGCCTAAGTATATACCCCTTATTAAGGGGACATGTAACCTCAACTAGGGGTACTGGGACGGTCCTGGAAATTAGCTCAATAAGGAACCTCTGCGCTTTGTTCTGGATTAAACCATATAGTCATATAGTTTCAATCGATTGGACCGGAGTGGTGCCAGAAAGAGGGCAACTTAGTCTGGCACATGCCTCCCTACCTGCTGAGCTTCCTCGCTCAAAAGGAGATTAACCTTTGAATAACAATAGTAACAGTAATAATAACAATAATGGTAATCTTTAATTCTACCAGGATGGCATATACCCGAACCGGTTAGACGATTATCCACTCAGCTGCTAAGCCTCCTGAAGTCTCTTCACAGCAGCCCAGGCAAGATGGACTTCTGCGCCGCACCGTGTGCTGGGTGAGAACGGAGTTTCTCGAATCTTGGGTGCCTGTATCTGATAATTATGATCCGGACAGTGTTTCTTTGGTAGCACCAGGAGCATTGTAAAAAAGACTATTTCTGGAAACCTTGGGGATACTTGCTAGTTTAACAAAATAATGGGACCCCAATAATTATGACCCCAAATACTATAATCCTTATTACAGGGACCCCCCAAAAAGTACACCTAATTTTGGGAACTAAACAGTTGTGAACTAAGAGAAGATGTACGGTCCGCGAAGATTAGAAGTTTCAGGGCCAGTGTGAATGAAGCGATGGATCCAGTCCGAGAGTACTTACTTGAGGAGAATGGCTACGAGTACCTTGGGCTTGTCCCCATAAGGTTTAGGGTTTAGGGCTCTATGTGGCAGACCTCTTGTAGAAGAGGGAGAAATCAGCTACCCAAGGTCAGGGCAACTGAGTACGTAGGCTAATCATAACGGAAAAAGTGATTAAATGATGGCTACTACAGGGCTTAGGTTTTTTTTTGGTTTAGGGTCAGGGGGTCTGAGTAAGTAGGTCAATAACCCGTATACAAAGCCAGCTAATAACCCAACTGCCTCCATTCTCAAACTACTTAATCCCATGACCTCCTGACCCTCACCCTCCAAGAACAACCGTTTTTAGCGATTGGCTGCTGGCCCGAGAGAAGCGGGCATTTGGCATCTTGGAACCATGAGAAGCGCTACACGATCCTGAAAGGGTACCTTTAAAGGGGCTAGATAAGGGACATAGGGGGTTAAGGGTTTAGGGTTCCTATACATTCCTGCGATCCTCTTACCGGGATTTCTAAGAGAGGGGGCGGGGTTGTCTTCTTGCGCGTGCCTACAATGTGGGCTCTCACGCTTCGAAGTACCTTTTATGTAAACCCAGTGTGTATATGTATCCACGGGGTGTCAAAGGGTACCAAACCTTGAGAAACTGAAACCTGAACACGTGCAAAGCCGTCACACTGGCTCTTCTGGGTACACTGTCTTACGAAAAGATTACACAAGAGGTAGGAAACTGTATTTCCTACATGACCACCTAATCCTGTTCTGAGAAACTGGCAGCCGGCCCACACCACCTTTGTGAGACCTGGAGTTCCCATTGGGTGTTGGGTTCGGGAACCCACTTACCAAGGCTTACAATGGGTACCCAAAGAGCTTATAAAGGGTATGTGATATGTCAATGATATATTACCGCACCAGGTCCCTCAAAGAATGGGTCACTGGATGGTTGTCTAAATCATGTTGGGCTTAGGGTTTAAGGGTTTAGGGTTTAAGGTAGTCCTACCCTCCCCGAAACAAACAAAATGAACATGGAATTTGAAAAGTCGGAGACTGGTGTCAGGGAGCTTTTCGGGGTTCCACGTCCTCATACTCTCGTGGCAATCCCCATATCCATTTGGGGCCCCCCATTTTGAGAGACCCCTGTTTTGACAACCACCCATCAGGTTTGGATAGCGCAGCTCATCTTCCAAAAGCTGGCATTTGGTTAGCTGGGAATGAAGGGATGGAAAAGAAAATGGAAACTTTTATAATGGGTTGTATAGGGACTACTATAAGGATCTATTCCTTCATTCCTAGCAAACCACAGGCCAGAAAAGGTACCATTGGAGGTTCTGAGGTTGCATAGAGATTATGAAGGCATGCCGCTGGTCCCCTAAAGGACTACAGGGGTCATGTTGCGAAGTTCGCTTTACATATTTGACTTACCGGGTGTTAGTAGGGAATCCGGGCATAAATTATGTAGAGGTCATTTCGGGATGATCTGCCCTTAATCCGTCTTAAGAACCAGCATGGATGGTGTGCTGCGGCGCTGCACCGATAGATCGATAGACATGTCTGAGTGCCAGCGCAGCTGCACCAGCGTGAATGCAAAAAAGAGCTCTAGACCTTTCAGCTAATTGTTGATCGCACTATATGCAGTGGGTTGGTCTTCGACCTCTGCAAGTGATCTCCAAAAATGCCTTGGCTAGAACTCTTCGGACACCAAATGTGCAGCTTTGGCATGTCCTCCATTGCCCTCCTGGTCTTGGGCAGACTTGAGATATTGGACAATGTCCCTACATCGCTGCTCCAGGTTTTCTATCTCTTGCAACCGGTGCTGAAAACTGTTGCAGAGAACCACAAACTGGTTCCCCAGAAGGCTGTCGGTGCTTGGTGTTCTTTCCGCTGCTTTCTGGTCGATATTCTCTTCCAGTGGAGCAACCTCCTTCGATTGAGCTAGGCACAAGACTTGTTCATCGCGGCGATCCAGAGCCTCCAGGACCAGTGCTTCCGCCCTGGCAAGCACAGGCTGGAGCTGCTGCTGGATGGACCCAAAGGTCTCCATGGGGCTGCTGTTCAGCGCCGGCGAAACCGACGGCTTCTCATACTTTTCACTCTTTAAAGGCCGACTTCGCCAAAAATCAAGGGACCAAGGTTCCTCAGGTTTCTGTGACGCTTCTGGTGACACCTGCCTGCTGCGATCCATTTCTTGCATCCTTGCAAAAGTGGGCACCATTGCCTCCAGCAGCCGCGTCTGCTGGTCCAGCATGTCGGTGTGGCGCCGCAGAGTTGCAATCACGTCGTGGTCCATCAGCTTTCGAACCTCCATGACTGAGTACCTCACACGAGTCATGAGCGCACTCCCGGTACCAGCAAAACTGGGACAGCTGCCGGGCGGCCTAGCATCAGCATCCCCAAGTAGATATGTTCAGCATCTGCTTTTTGCATCCCGACTGCTACTACTGTGGGTACCGCTCCTTACATCTACTGCTCCTCATGCGCCCTATGACCCTATGACTACGTTGCAAACCTTACTGCCCCCCAACCTCACTACCAGCAGCATCTCTTCCTCCACCACGACTTCCACCACCTGCACGTCCACCACTGGCACCGCCACAACAGCAACCCCACCACCAACCCCAAGCTCCACCTGCCGCGCCCCGCCGCACCCGCCCGCTATCCCTACCACCCAGGCCAAAACCACCACGCCCAGTACTATCACCACGCCCCTCTGTCATACTCTGCTCTGCTAGTTCCTTCTACTTGGGGTTCAGAGCCAAGACACTTGATGAGCGACTGCATTATGGCCGGGTCGCGCTCAAAAAAGCCGGAAAGATGCTGGCAAAACTCGAAATAGGACACCTCCCCGGAGAGGTCTGTGTCCAGAACATGGAATATGGTCTCCATATCCTCGCGCCGGATATCCATCACTTGCATAAGCTTGCAGAATGCGTCGATGTCGTCGTAGCCCTTCAGCATCTCTTCCAGCGAAAGGGACCCACTGTTGTCTGCGTCCATTTCATTGCCTCAGGACACATTGGTGTAGGCTTGGGGTTCAAGGTTTCATGAAGACGGTCGTTCATTCTCCAGTAACATCTCGTGCCTCGCCCCTCTTAGGAGAGATGCCTGCAACATCTTGCAACAGCAGATCCACAAAGGCCCATCTTACTACGAGAGCACCGGAAGCCTGCGGGAGAGTAGCCTTCCCATCACTATCCCAACAAGGAAGCCTTAAGCTGATTCTTCAGGCATCCCAGGTGCAAAGCAATGCAAAGTTGATCATGTTTTGTGAACGCTCGTGCTCCTTCTTTTTGAGCTTCCTGTCCTGATCGTTCTCCCTGGCTTCGGTGGCGCGCTCCACAATCACCTGGTCCAGAAGCATGCGCCCTTTTGGGGGTAGCAATGAAAAGTTGCCACCTGGCATTTTGGGAAACATTGGCGGGACCCTGATTTTGCAAACCTGCCACACTATGAACTCAGCTTATGCTTGAGCAACTATCACTACTGAGGTTACACTTACGATTCGTCGCTGTGGAGCTACTTGGAGGGTCAGGGGACTTAGTAAGTAGGTCAATAAACCCTACAACCCAAATAGTAACCGTGACTAAACCCTAGTAATACCATAATTAACCTAGAAGGCCCAATGACCCTCCAAGTAGACTGCTCTCCCAAGGGTTAGGGCCAGATCAAATGGCAAATCAGACGATCTGGGGCGGTGCGGGAAGTAGGGATGGATACCCAGAGACCCCGGAACTCTCAACCAGGGAAAAACATGAATAAAACTACGTTAGGGTTTAGGGTTTAGGGTTGTATACAATGCCTTATTCCTTCATGGCAGAAGAGTGTGTCCCGTGGTGGGATGTTCGGCAGACTGATACGCCCCAAACCCCGTCCCTAAATCCTCAGGCGTTGCTCTCTGCACTGCACCAGGGCTGGACTCGCAGATTCTCCGGAAGATGACAGCCCCTTCCTACAAATTACTGTACCCGATGAGGCAATAATCTTACTTTGTATTGTGGTCTATAGGATCTCGGAATAAAATGAAACTCGTGGCTTCCTGGATCCAGCGGCTTCTTGCACGAAGCTGCGAAAGTCTAGCTCTGGAACCATATGCATCAGACATGTTCTTCGGTTAATGTTACTCCGACTGCTTGACTTCAGGCCATAGTAGCAATCATGTTTATCAGAATGTTCTGCCAACAGGGCATTTTTGGTGATCCTGCTCCGCAGGGTGGAACCCAGGACCTGTGCAACGCTCCAGTCTTGCCCCTCTAAACGCTAAGCCGCAAGTATGAAACATCAGTCGGGATGCAGCCAGGATAAGGTTCATGACTCCCAGCGAGATGGATACCATGATAGGGAACCTGCAGCTGATGCGAACCCCTGCAAAGTGCTAGGTTTCAGGTTTGCGTATGGACTCTGGTCTGATTCTGTTTCATCCAAACACAGGCGTATCTCGTCCTAAACCTAAACCACCTAACCACCTAAGCCATGGCCAGGCTTTGACAGCTCGCTTTGAATTAGCCCAAGGAACAGGACGACGGATGTCCAAGGATGTTGCTCGAGCATCGGGATTGAGATCCTTGGTTTCTCGTGGAGGGGGGGCATGAAACCTAAAACCTAAGCCCGAAACCGAAACCTGCGGCGTTCGGGGGGGCGGGGGCGGCAGGGGGTTGGCGGGCGTGGGGGTCACAGCTGGGATTCAGCATGAAAATGCTAGTCATAAGCACAGGTCTACCCAAAACTACTGCTATTTCGCTCGTGAAGGAAGAGCTTCTGGTAAGTTACCATTGGAAACCCTGCCGCCGCACTCCATATTCAAGTAGCCTCAGCGCTGACCGTGGCTAATACCTGGATGTCAAAACCCCTAAACTCCCTAAACCCTAAACCCCGGAACCCTGAACCAGGCACAAAGGCACTCTTATATGGTCTAAGGTTACAACCATGGGCCCCTCGTATGGGACCTCAACACTGGGGTCCTATGTACCTACTATGTACACTATATAGAATCCCCTAAAAGGCCTTAGGGCCAACATTAAGGGCCCATACTTCAAACCTTAGATATGGAGCCTGGCCTAGATGAGATATTGTCGGGCTCCCCGAACCTGAGGATTGTATAGCAAGTCCCCCTCCAACAATACATAGTCCCCACACGACATAACGGCAAGGTATTGACAAATATGTTGCCTCTAGGTGCTGAGAAGGCTTATTCTTGCTGGGGTGGGGAATGCCCTAAGCCCTACACCTTAGCCCTAAAACCTAAAGCCTTAGACCCCAATCACAGTAGCTTCCATGTGTGCTGAAATCTAAACTCCAGTATGCCCCTTAGTAACCCTTTTCCTACTCCCACATATATGTACATATTCCCCTACGTAACCCGGTTTAAGGAGTTTAGACTACAGCTCACGTAGCCAGGATGCTCGCCCCAAGAATCTCCGGCCACAATCTGCTGGAACAATGTCAAGCCTTGCTGGAATCATGCATCAGGGTGGGGGAGGGGCATGAAGTGGGTTTGCTAGGGTAGGTTCAGGGGCCCTATACAGAGGAACTTTGTTTTAATGAAATAAGGATTCTATAGGAGGTAAGGGTAACAAAAAAGTAAAACATGTTCGAACCTACACCTGTTAGAATTCGGGGTTAGACCATAAGGACCATTTTGCACACCATCGACGTAGTTTGAAGTAGAAACATGGGAGTGCTGTCCTATTTTGATTTGTCAGTTAGCCTGCTGACTCTCCCGTGTCAAGATAGCCAATGGGAAAAGGCTGCGCTCAGCACGGCTGCAAAGCCAGTAGACTGCGCTTGGAGCCCATCCCAAACCCTACACGCTAAGTGGACTTACTGCTCTGAGAGCATGCGTCGCCATACTCTCACGCAAGAACACTTGCGTTTCTCAAATCTTCCCTACAGCTGCAATGCTTAGCAAGGACCTCTATAATCCCCCTGCAAAACCTAATATATTAATCTTTGATGTCTTCTGCCCAGATACCTGCAGAATAGACGCTCTTGAAGCGCATCTTACAGTCCAGACCCTGGCATTCAGTGTCCTCGAAGGTCATCTGAGATGCAGCCACGGGATGAAGGACTTCCACTGCAATGATAGCCCAGACAACCTTACGGTTATATAGGGGTGATGGAAAACAGAAAGGAAACTACTATAATATAATATCTAGGTTCTAGTTTAGGATTTAGGGTTTCAGGATTTACGGCTATATAGGGATAATGGACAAGAAAATGGCAACTACTATAGTATAATAGGGTATATATTTGGATTTTTTAGGTATAATATAGGGGTTATGTAGGGATAATGGAAAAGAAACTGGACACTACGAAAGTATAATACAGGGTATATATTGGGGTTCTGGTTTAGGATTTAGGGTTTAAGGTGAAGGGTAATTTCATGAGTACTGGAATGAGGTATCTTTGTGACCCCTTATTCCGGCCTATACCCCATTGGCTTCATTCCCTGCCAACCATCACCAAGCAACAATGGCCGACAGCAGCATGCAGGAGCCAAAAACGATAGCCTTCATCGAGGAGTAAAGCCCTGAGACCAGCAAGTAGAACTCCGGGACGGAGATGAAAACACGAGCCGCTCTTAAGACACGCACCAGGCGCGCAAGTCTCAAAAGGTTGGGACTAATATTGATAATTTTGTTGAGTAGCACACTCACCTGGGATGCTTCTGGGATGGAAAGAAACAAGGTCGTGTTCATGGGTCTCTTAGACGTGTCAAGAAAAGCCCGTCTGCGAGAAGTATAAAACGATCCCAGACTTCCATCCACTCGCCCAGCCCAAAAGGACGGTCATCAGGTCTGTCACGTTCCAGACGTTGCATAGGAACTGCTCTCGCTCGGCAAAAGCTCGAGCACAGCCTCTGCTGCCCAGAAAAGAGATAGCTAGCTATGGCCTAGGGTTCTAGAATTCAGGGTTTTAAGGTTTAAGGATTAGGGGAGTAGGTGTCCATTCACATTTCTATTTTTCCATTGTTGGGATAATGTTCATGTATGCCGCCTCCCCTATATTCCCCTATATAACTCCGATGCAACTCCTATATGTGTGATATACTAGCATTAGGGAGTCTGGCATTTCACATCACGGGGGGGGGGAGGGGGGAATTCTGGCCCAACCTGTATTTCCATTTTACGGGTCAAGGCGACTTGGTAAACTTAGGATCTAGGACTTAGGGCCAAGGGACTTAGCAATTAGGAGATACAGTTGCTTGGTACAGTGGTTGTCTGAAAATGGGGGTTCTGAACCTAATCACTAATCACTTTTTAAGTCCCCCTGACCCTCCAAGTAACGTTCGTAGCGCGTTTGTTATACTTTAATTCCTCCATACAGACCAAACAAGCAAACAAGACACTTTGCTCCGAGGCATGGTCAAAATTCTACTGCGGTGGATACTAAAATTCCTGCATAGCTTTAAGTACCTTGTACCTTGCGAGTAATAGCATTATAGTATAGTAACGTCATGCAGGATTTTCAGTATTAACAGTATGTCTTGGTAAGCCGAAAAAGGATACAGATCTGACAGGACACCGCGAGGATCCTTCTGAACATGCGGCTCGACCACGCATGGACTGAGGGAAGATTCTAGAAGCTCACCCTACACCTTGCGTTACCCCACTGATTCGACCTCAAACCCGAAGAACAAATCCCTTGCCCTAATCACATTACGCTAAATATTTGAAGGTGATCCAGAGCTGCGTTGTGGTTCTGCTTCAAGGAAAGCTTTACGGACTCGCCATTAAGCTCTTGCAAGACAGACTGCTCTACGTGGCACTTCGGGCGCCTAGTAAGGGTTAACCCGTAGGTACCTATAATAAGAGTATAACCCTAAGGGTCCAAGGACCCAAATAATAGGGTTTCAGGGCCCAGATACTATAATATCAATGGTATTTGGGCCCTAAAACCCTATTATCTAGGTCCTTGGACCCTTTTAGGGTAAGGGAAGCCCAAAGGGCAAAGAAGTCTAAGGTCCAAGCTAAGTCCCAAGGAGTGCTATGACCCCTGGTGTCTAAACTCGACTTGAATCTTGGGGTTTAGGGTTTAGGGTTTAGGGCCTCTGAAACCATCCTGGGGTGCGGCTTCAGCTCAAGGCAAGGAACTCTCCAAGGAGTACAACACCAGGAGCGTGTAATTCCTAGGCTTGTTACATGAGTTCCCACCCCACCTCACAGCCAGAACTTCTACATGTGGGTTTTAGGTATATTATAGAATATAGAGTGGTAAATAGTTTTAGGTAACTTTTAGGGTCAAGGGCTTAGAGTGTATAGGTTTGGAGGACCCCCCACACTGTAATAGTGGTATAATAGGAATATAATAGGACCCTAGAATAATCCTTATTATCCCTTATAGCCACTATTACTGGGTGGGGGTCAGCAGCGCAGAAACAAATCTTCCTCCGTACATCCGCTTCGAGAGCCCTTTGCTACAGCCCTTTTCGGGGGTGAGGGCCTCGGCGCGGCGGAGACCCACGCCCAAAAGGATGAAAACGTGGTTTAGGGTTTAGGGATTTAGGGTTATATATTAGGTGGACCCCCCACCCAGTAATAGTGATTATTATGCCTCTATATCCTATTATACCATTATTACAGGGTGGGGGGTCCTCCTACGTTATATAGTACAGAGGGAAGCGCAGGAAAAGCCATGACAGCTGTGCTATCTGCCATCATGAGGTGCCGACAATGGCGAAAGCCGCTAGAAGTGCAACTGAAGCACATTTGCATGCGGTGACAGACAAGTTTTGAACAACTTAAACAGGATAATTCTTAGAATCAAGGTAACCTGTAGTTTTGAACAAGTTATACAGGGTTCTTCTTAGAATGAAGGTAACCCTGCACACCCCCAAAAATACCAAATGCAAACATTGCTGGGATCCAAAGACCTCACTCACTGGTGCTTACCGGGACTGGGGGGGGCGGGGGGGGCGGGGGGGTGAACATAACTATAAGAAGGGCTTTTGGAGTGATCCCCTCCTACTCTCTCCCTGAAGACGAAGAAGAAACCTACTGTAAGTTTGAGAAGCCCCCGGCCAATCTCGTTTACCACGAATCAATAGATTAAACATCGGAACCAACAGCCTGAATCAAAATGGTAACCACTATATAACCTATAGACAACCCTTCTGTAGGTACTTAGGGTCTCCTAAAAGGCTCCCGGAAGCTCGAAGTTCTAACTTGAGGTTGCAACCTACAGCCCCTGGATTGGAATGCTGTTAAGGAACTTAAAGTAAGTTACCATTCTATGGGCATATAGTAAATGATAAGGGTTCCCCTACTCTAACTACTAGAATTACTTAAGTTGTTTAAGAGCAACCCAGTTGAGCAGCGTTTTTTAGTGGTTAAACCTAATAAGATTATATTCCTTACATAAAATACTATACCCCAAATAACATAATATCCCCAAATAAAATACTACTCAGTTGAGAAGACCCAGGTTCGCAAAGCTCAGGGAAGGGACCAGATCGCCACGCATTGGGCAGTCTGACCAGTTATCTATGTACTCTGGGTAGCAGGCGGCATTCAGATTCGCCTGCAGCAAAATCTATGACTGAGGATAGCTTTACCACAAGTTCTGAAGCCAACCACGCCGATCACCCCCTTCGTGCAGTAGATGCTACTAAACTTTACTCACTCTACCCAAGCAGTGCTTCATTGAAATCATTTCGAAGCCTGTTTCATGTCCTCCTTGCTGTGGCCATGGTATGCAAGCTCACGTCGAAACCAAGCCGGGATGGACACGGGAGTTTCTCACCAAAGGTGGCTCGGGGATGGCGATTATGAAGGGGTCATGGGGAACTGGGGTTTACACCAGGACTACTCTATGAAACTGTCACATGTCCCTTCTTGAAAAGAAAATCAACAAGAAGCCTGAAGAATTCTACGTGCACGTCCCTTATCGGCCACCCCAAAAACCTGGTCTGACTATTGAGCCCAAAACGTGAAAATGTTCTCGCGGCCTGTCCTATGACCGGCCTCGTATATGATGATGCCGATGTTGCAAATAATGATTAGGCCCATGCAGGTCTCGAAGCATTGCGAGAACACACACTGCGCCACCGCTACCTTTGACTGATATGCGAGTTTCCAAAAACAGGGTCCCCATTTTATACCCGCAGTAGACTTGCACCAAAATTGCCATTTCAAAGGCCCCCAGCAAGGAACCCCTGATTTTCGGAAACCTTCATATTGGGGATTGGAACCAGGACTGAATCCTGTCAAGCTAGGGCCCGGGGCCCTAAACCCCAACCCCAAGGCCAGCGTCCTTCGCGGGATACTACTTCACAAACATGAACTGTGTATTCCAATTCGGTACAGGAAAACAAACACTGAAAAACAATTTATAGTAGTTTCCCAAAATTAAGGTACCCCAATATGGAGCCCAATATACTATACAATAGTCCTTATTAGAGGGACCCCCAAAAAGGTACCCTAGTTTTGGGAAACTCCCTTATAATGCCCACATCAGCAAGGCATGCCGGGAACCCTTGCTCGGAGTCATTGCTACATGGTTATAAGTTGCTAGGGCTTAGGGTTTAGGATTGTATTGGGGTTATATTGGGGTTATATTAGGATTATATTGGGGTTATATGAGGGATATCTTGGGGTTGTAATAGCGATATTGGGGCTATATTGTAGGGTTTGCAGCAGCATAAACTTAGAGCACTCGCCGCCAGCCGTTTTGATCTGCGTATAAGTAATACAAGTAGTGACCAGAGCAGTCACAACCCTCATGAGAAGCACAAAGGAGTGGGGCTCAGGGCTTAGGGCGCCAATGCAAGGACCAATGATGGATTCATGACCAAAATCCGACATGATGGCAGTGGTTCCTGGTTGCGAGAAGGAGGGCAGTAGACTGCATAGAAGTTGAGAATGTGACATTTTGAACAGACCTCGTGTAGTCAAGTCGCAAACCTATAAACATCCTCCACCCGAACCACAATAAGAAACCCATGGAATTCGTTAGGAATCCACGTGTAGCCCATGCCTATGAAGGCCCCATCTCTGCGAAACGCGTATATAACAAAACATATCAAACCACCAACTCTCCCCAACCCTATTTCTTCGTGATCCTTGTAAAAACTCCTGCAATGCCTATGCAGCCCCTCCGTGCAACCCGAACATAACTTCCATGCTATCCCTATCATCCGCCGGGCCACTCGCAGCCTGCCCCAGACCATGTTGCCCTCATCCTAGGTTGCTGTTAAGGAGCTTAGATTAGGTGACTATAATAATGAGGAAACCCTTAGTGCTTACGATATACCCATTGTATGGAAGTTTAATTTAAATTCCTTAACAGCAACCCAGCATCATCCAGCCACGGCTTCTTGGTATAAGCGCGTGTGTAGCGACCTCGAAGTGGCGAGTTCGCCAAAATTGTGCGATGGAAGCAGATTTCTCCAAGACCCTCTACACCTAGTTTAGGGTTTTGGTCGGTTTAGGATTTATGTGGTATACCGAGGGTCATGCAGGGCTTCTTCCATCAAATGTATGGATGGCCTTGTGGGGCCACAGGATCGCTTGATTGAGAGCTGATGGTGGAGCCCTTCTTATAGCAGCTCAGCATTCTTGTTCGAACCCACAGAATAACACCGTAAGAATTTGCAACCGGTCACAAAAGCTCTGACATTTGATGCTCTGAAAAAGTACAGAATCGCGAGGGTCATCAGGGAATCACAACTTCACTTTTTACTGAAGTTTCTAGTATGTCGGCTGCAAAAGAAGAATGCAAACTCCTAGGGCTCCATATTCAACTCAGGAACCCCGTCACTGCTGAACCTAGCATCAATGTCCAAAGATCCCAAGCCGAGATTGTGTTGGCTGACCATTCCCCCTCAGCTTTTGGGTGGGCAGTAGACAAAGCGAGCCCAAGATTAAGGACGCTATGAAAGGATTAATGGAAGTCTGGTGGATGAAAAATGCAGCACGTCCTGACTAGAAACTTGGCCGCTGCAGCGGCAGACCTACAAACCTGATGGCCTTCTGGCAGGGGTGCTCAGCCCCAACAAAGAAATTTCTGCAGCCTAAACCCTAAACCCAATCTCGGACCTGGAAGGCTAGGGCAGCCTGTTGTTTGTACAGCCTACAACCTGACGGTCAGTTGACACGCAGAGGTGTCAAGGCCCTAAACCCTAAACGCTCATTTGTAGTTTCCATTTCATTTTCCAGTATGGGGGGAGAATATCTCTAAACCCGAAACCCTAAATAGTAGTTGCCATCGTATTTTCCATTATCTCTATATAACCCCAATATGACACCCCAAACCCTAACCCCCTCAGACGCTTGGTCTGCTGCTACGTACGGACCACACACCTACTGCCTTGAGTAAGACGTTTGGAAAAGCCTTCATATCTTTACCTATATGGGCCCCGACAGACACATCAGGTCGATGATGCTCATACTATGCCCTAAACCACAAACTTGAACTCCAAAACCCTAAACCCTTAAAAACTTCATTCTAACTCCACGCCCCAAGCCCTCAAACATTTCATTCTGACTCCAAAACCCTAAAACCCTAAACCCTTAGAAACTTCTTTCCTGAGCCCTAAAACTCCTCATACTGTGACAGAGCCGCGGCTTTTGATAGCCTCCAAGGCATCCTGTAGATGGTCTGTCCTTGGAAGGGGGTTTGGGGTTGTATAGAAATAATGGAAAATAAAATGGAAACTACTACTTGGGGTTTAGGGTGTTATATTGGGGTTATATAGGGATAATGGAAAATAAGATGGAAACTACTATTCAGGGTTTACGGTTTAGGGATATTATCCCCCCATAAAGTGGAGAATCAAATGGCAAAGAAAATGGAACATGCGATGGAAACTGGGGTTATATGGGTGTATATGACAGGGTTTGTGGTGTAGGGCTGGCGGTTTTTATCAGGACCCTTCTGGGACGGGGCTGGGTACTGCCCCCACCCAGTAAACAGTCTAAAATAGTGGTAATGTTAAGGGTTATCATCTAAAAAATTGAAGACCATAGCAGGGGTAATATTAATTATTAAGGGCTATAATATAGAACTATAATAAAGATGTATCCGCTGTTACTGGGTGGGGGCAGCATCCAAAGTCGAGGGTTTACAGTTTAGGGGTTCAGGGTTTCAGCACACGTTTCGCACTGCACGGTTAGAGTTCCAGAGTCCGGT